CCAGAGTGGGGAGACGGATCGTGGAGGAACGGGGTAAAGAACCAGAGGGGGAGACGGATCGAGGGGAACAGCATGGCAAGCCTGACTTGACCAGAGCATAGGGCTGAGTGGCCTCCCCATGCAAGGAGGTTTGTAATGTTGGGGGGAGTTGGGTGTGGGTGGTATCAACCTTGAGTCAGGACTCAATGAAGGCATTTGGTTTGTGGTGGTCAAAATGATGGAATGTTGCCCGCTTGGTTGAATCGTCTTCGACCCATATTTTCCCCCCCGAGACTCAATCCTTCTGCCAACAGCTCCGTCCCAGACCCGCCCGAACCTCGAACGAACTCTCCACCCACGAGCCTCTCCGAGGAGTACAGTCTCAACGTCTCACGTCTTTCCACGACCCTCGCCACCTGCCAACGTTCCCCGTCAATCCTATCTGCGCCTTCCCATCTCTAAAGCCTCCACTTCCTTCCCAAAGTGGAAGGCCCAGAACTGGACACACAGTTCTCCAGGTGAGACTAGGTCCATGTCACTTCCCGCACTCTCGTACTCAATGCCTCTACCATTGATAAACCTCACGGTACCGTCTGCTTTATTGAGAACACCCTGGACAGGACGTTGGTGAGGCCTCTTCTGGAGCACTGTGTCCAGTTCTGGTTGCCCTCTTATAGGAAGGACATAATTAAGCTGGAGAGAGTTCGGGAGAGATTTACCAGGATGTTGCCAGCTATGGAAGGTTTGCGGAGGCTGGAAATTTTTTTTTTTACTGGAGCGTAGGAAGTTGAGAGGTGACCTTACGGAGGTATAGAGAGAGGTCATGGTAGGTGTCTTTTCCCTAGGGTGGGGAGATTTCAAGACTAAAAGGGGCACAGTGAGAGGAGAGAGATTTAAAAGGCAAACTTTTTACACAGAAGGTGGTCCGTGTGTGGAATAAACTTGCAGAGGATCTGGTGGGTACGACGTTTAAAAGACATTTGGTTGAGTACGTATATAGGATAGGTTGGATGGATATGGGCCAGGAGTAGGCAAGTGTGGGACTAGTTTAGTTTGGGAAGACATTTGGCATGGACTGGTTGGAGCGAAGGCTCTGTTTCGCGCGACTCTGAATATTACCGCCTTCCAATAACTTACATGCGTGGCGGACAGCAAGGTAGCGGCGTTTTCTGCTTGCTTCCGGAGCTGCAATCGACCCTGAGGCAACCCCCCAACTCATTAGCAGACGCGGTAATCTCGCTCCTTGTCGGACCGCGCGAGGTGTGCTGAAACCTCAGAGGCGGTTTCTCAGCAACCGGAGCACGCCTCTGAGAGGCGTGCAGCAGCCACACACCGTCCCCACCCCCTGCGCTCCATCGAGGAGCAATGCCACGGGAGACCGGGCCGCGCAGACAGAAAGCAGCAGGTGCGCGGCAGGGACGAAGAGAAGGGCACGTCGGGCTCCGGGGGCTAGTGGGGGAGGGAGGGAGTGGAAGGAAACGGCTTACCTCGCTTCTGGCCCAGAATCAGCACCAGGCACGTGCTGAGCTTGAAGAGCTCCACCATCACGACGGCCGAAGTGGAAAAGAACTTGTTCCCGGGCACAGTCCGAACGTAGCGGATGCACAGGATGACGGAGGCGTTCTGGATCACCAGGACAGCCAGGCTGGCGTATTTCAACTTCTCGTTGGCTGCCAGCGAGGAGGACAACAGCGTCAGGCAACAGCAAGTGGCTCCCCACTCCCTCCCTACTCCGTTGCCCTGAACGCACTCCCCACCGCCTCCCCATTGCGGCTTCGAACACCTCGATTGGATCTCTGAGGGGAATCAGTCCCGGCTTCTGCCGTGTCTCCCTCAGCTACCACCACCATCTCACCCACACCACACCCACCTCCTCCACCCCCCCAACAAAAAGGAACCGTTTCTGTGAAACTTGTCCAAAACTTCTCCATACTCTGCCGAACTTGCGATTCCTGACTGTAGCAGTTTCTCCCGTTCCTGCTCTTTCATCGAACTTTCATCATTGAACTACCTGCATTCTGATAAACTCTATCTAACCCCGTGCTGTCCCTGGGAGTGTTTGATGGGGGGACAGTGTAGAGGTAGCTTTAATCTGTATCTAACCCTGTGTTCTGGGAGTGTTTGATGGGGTGGGGTGGGGAAACAGTGTAGAGGGGAGCTTTACTTTGTATCTCACCCCTTGTCCTGGGAGTGTTTGATGGGGGACAGTGTAGAGGGAGCTTTACTCTGTATCTAACCCCCTGTCCCTGGTGTGTTTGATGGGGGACGGTGTAGAGGGAGGTTTACTCTGTATCGAACCCCATGTACTGGGAGTGTAGAGAGAGCTTTACTCGGTATCTAACGCTGCGCTCTCCCTGTCCCTGGGAATGTTTGACGGGGGGCAGTGTAGAAGGTGTCGTGCTTCCATTATGCAAGAGCAGTGGAGGCTTTACTGCATGTCGAACTAGTTCTGCAACAGACATGGGAGTGCCGGGCTATTGTTTGGAGGACTAGGAGTGGCTAATGCCTGTGGCTTTTCTCTCCGCACCTGGCAAACCCTGCATTGCACTAATGTGCTCAGCCCATGAATGGTGTACCTGCTGACAACGTGTGGTTTCTGAGCTCAGGAACCTGCTCCAATTCTGGCCTGTCACATCCCCTTCCTGTTTCCCATCACCCTACCATTCCTGGCCATGCCTTTAGCTGCTGGGGTGCGAGTGGAAACGGAGCTCTGGGACTGGCCCCCACCACGTCCCCTCCCCACCCAAGACTTCTCCTCTCAGGATCTCAGAGTCACACAGCACGGAAACAGACCCTTTGGCCCAACCCGTCCGTGCTGACCCGGATATCCTAAATTAATCCTAGTCCCATTTGACCCCTATCCCTCTGAACCCTTTCTAGCCACGTACCCATCCAGATGCCTTTTAAATGTTGTAATTGTACCAGACCCCACCACTTCCTCTGGCAGCTCGTTCCACACATGCACCACCCTCTGTGTGAAAACGTTGCCGCTCAGGTCCCTTTTGAACCTTTCCCCTCTCACCTTAAAAATATGTTCACCAGTTTTGGACTCCCCCCTAACCTGGGGAAACGACCTTTGCTATTCACCTTATCTATGCACCTCATGATTTTTTTTAAGATCACCTGTCAACCTCCGAAGCTCCAGTGAAAGAAGTCCCAGCCTATCCGACCTCTACAAACCCTCCATTCCCGGCAAATTTCTCCTGAACCTCTCCAGTTTAATAATATCCTTCCTATAACAGGGCGACCAGAACTGGACACAGTGCTCCAGAAGAGGCCTCACCAACGTCCCTGTACAACTCAACGTGACATCCCCAACTCCTACACTCAAAGGGTCTGAGTGATGAAGGCAAGCGTGCCAAACGCCTTCTTCCCCACCCTGTCTACCTGTGATGCTAACTTCAAAGGATTATGTCCCTGAGCCCCCTAGGTCTCTCTGTTCTACAACACCACCCCAAGGCGCTACTGCATAAGTTCTACCCTGGTTTGTTTTACCAAAGGGGCCACGACATGACATAGCTTCACAGAGTGCCCTGTTAACACAGCTTTCTCTGATCTTGTGTCAGGTCGACTGTTGGGGCGCGTGAGCTGGGCTAGGATTGAGAGGATGGGCCAGCAGATTCACACAATCCCCATCCCGCCCTCCGCTCCGATCTCTCTAAAAGCAGGGCAGAGAGGAAAATCTTTCTCCCAGGAACCTCCTCTTTCATCCTTTCCCCTGTTAGTGACATATTACCAGCGATGTGCCACGAGGATCACTGTTTTTCACCATTGGTAACATGGTGTGGATGTGAATATAGGGAGGAAGGGTTAGTGAGTTTGCAGATGGCACCAAAATTGGACAGCGAAGAAGGTTAGCTCAGAGTACAACGGGACCTCCATTAAATGGGCCGAGGAGGGGCAGACGGAGCTTAATTTAGATAAATGTGAAGTGCTGCATTTTGGGAGAGGCACATCAGGGGCAGGACTTAACGGTAAGGTCCTGGGGGAGTGTTGCTGAACAGAGAGACCTTGGGGGGCAAGTACATAGTTCCTTGAAAGTGGAGTCGCAGGTAGACAGGGCGGTGAAGAAGGTGTTAGGTACGCTTGCCTTTATTGGTCAGTGCGTTGAGTGTAAGAGTTGGGAGGGTCATGTTGCGGCTGTATTGGTGAGGCCGCTTTTGGAATACTGCGTTCAATTCTGGTCTCCCCGCTGAAGGATGGATGTTGGGAAACTTGAAAGGGTTCAGAAAACACGTTGCCAGGGTTGGAGGGTTTGAGCGATAGGGAGAGGCTGAATAGACTGGGGCTATTTTCCCTGGAGTGTTGAAGGCTGAGGGGGTGACCTTATAGAGGTTTATAAAATCACGAGGGGCATGGATAGGCCAGACAGAGAAGGTCTTTTTCCCCCAGGGAAGGGGAATCCAAAACTTGAGGGGCATAGGTTTAAGGTGAGAGGGGAAAGGGACCCGAGGAGCAGCTTTTTCACGCAGAGGGTGGTGCGTGTGTGGAACGAGCTGCCAGAGGAAGTGGTGGGGGCTGGTACAATGACAACATCTAAAAGGCATCTGGATGGGGACGTGGATAGGAAGGGTTTAGAGGGATAGGGGCCAAATGCTGGCAAATGGGACTGGATTAATTTAGGATCATGGACAATTTGGGCCGAAGGGTCTGTTTGCGTGCTGCGTCTCTCTCTCCCCCTCAGACCAATCCCCTGATTAAAAGCTGGTACCTAATCTCTTGCTGTTTCGCTCACACATACGCCTTGCAGGGGCTTCTGAGCCCACTGTGAGCAACCAGACAACCAAAATAAGCATTCCCACAGCAGCACACAGTCTGTGTCGTGATCGCTCATTGTTTAGCAAGAAGGGTAGCCCCTCATGTGGAGGCCAGGGACTTGTGATCATCCTGTCAGCTTCTGTGTGTGGGACTCTGACCTCCTCAAGGCCAGAATCCCAAGTGGGGCTGATGGAGGGTATGATTAACCGCACTGTGTCATGCGTAGTTGCCGCTCCCTCTCATCCTCTCGAGCCACTTGCTTTCTCAGTACAGGGAAACTAAGGCAGAGTATGTGGTTAACCTTTTGTGCGTGGCGGATCTCGACTGTTATTCCTATCCCTCAGCGCCTCTCGTCTGTTTTCGTTCTGCATTCTATTAAATGCTGAACCAATTTCACACCCAGATGGTGGGCTAGGTGCAGTGAACTCTCTTCATGGTTTTGCCATTGTTTTGGGGGGGGAGAAGTTCCATTTTAAATTGGCATCCACAGAATCCCTACAGCAGACCATTTGGTCCAACCCTCCAAACTCACCCAGAACCACCCGCCCACCCACCCCTGCCACCTTATCCCTGCATTTAGCACGGCCAATCCACCCTAACCCGCACATCCCTTGGCACTAGGGGACAACATAGCACGGCCAATCTACCCTAACCCGCACATCCCTTGGCATCACGGGACAATTTAGCACGGCCAATCCACCCTAACCTGCGCATCTTTGGACTGTGGAAGGAAGCCGGAGCACCCGGAGGAAACCCACGCAGACACGGGGAGAACGTGCAAACTCCCGCACGGACAGGCACCCGAGGGTGGGATCGAACCCGGTTCCCTGGCGCTGTGAGGCAGCAGTGCCAAGGACTGAGGCCACCGTGCCACCTTGGGGAATCAGATGAGTGAGTCTGGACGGTGAACCTGAGGTGGTGGCTGGGACTTTGAGAATGCTGGGAGGCCATGATCGGCTCGAGGGCAAAACAACATCCTCATCTTTCATTGCTTAAGTGGACTTGCCTTTCTGATGCAAAAATGTAGATAGGGTAGGGGAGTCTAAATCCAGAGGGCATAGATTTTAAGGTGAGAGGGGAGGGGAGAGATACACAAGGGTCCAGAGAGTGTCTGGGAAAATCGTCACGTCTCCAGCCCATTTCGTATTGTGTACTACACTTGCCAATAGGATACAAAATGGGTGTGACGGCAGGAGACAGAGTGGGGTGGTGGAGGGTTGCTTTTCAGACTGGAGGCCTGTGACCAGCAGCGTGCCACAAGGATCAGTACTGGGTCCACTGGTTCTCACCATTTATATAGTCGATTTGGATGAGGATACAGGAATCACGGTTAGTAAGTTTGCAGATGGCACCAGGATCGGGGGCGTAGTGGACAGTGAGGAAGGTTTCTCTAAGATTACAAAGGGATCTCGATCCATTGGGTCAACGGGCCGAGGAGGGGCAGATGGAGTTTAATTCGATAAACATGAGGTGTTGCGTTTCGCTGAAACAAATAAGGGGCAGGACTTATACAATTAAAAGTAGGGCCTTGGGGTGGTGTTGTAGAACAGAGAGACCTAGGTTCAGGGACATAATTCTTTGAAGTTAGCGTTACAGGTAGACAGGGTGGGGAAGAAGGCATTTGGCACGCTTGCCTTCATCGCTCAGACCCTTTGAGTATAGGAGTTGGGGATGTCATGTTGAGGTTGTACAGGGACGTTGGTGAGGCCGCTTCTGGAGTACTGTTGTCCAGTTCTGGTCGCCCTGTTATAGGAAGGGTATTGTTAAACTGGAGAGGGTTCGGGAGAGATTTACCAGGATGTTGCCGGGAATGGAAGGTTTGAGTTATAAGGAGAGGCCGGGACATTTTTCACTGAAGCGTAGGAGGTTGAGGGGTGTATAGAGGTTTACAGAATTAAAATTAAAAAATAAAAAAGAAAAACATAAAACCTTATAGAGGTTTATAAAATCATGAGAGGCATAGATAGGGTGAATAGCAAGGGTTTTTTCCCTAGGGTGGGGGATTTCAAAACTAGGGGGCATATTTTTAAGGTGAGAGGAGAAAGATTTAAAAAAGACATGAGGGGCAACTTTTGTTTTAAAACACAGATTAGTTTGTGTGTGGACATTCACTCCAGAGGAAGTGATGGATGTGGGTACAGTTACAACGTTTAAAAGACATTTGGATAAGTACATGGATAGGAAAGGTTTGGAAGGGAGGCGGTGGCCTAGTGATATTATCGCTGGACTGTTAATCCAGAGACCGGGATAATGTTCTGGGGACCCAGGCTCGAATCCTGTCACGGCAGGTAATGGAATTTGAATTCAATAAATATCTGGAATTAACAGTCTAACGATGACCGTGGATCCATTGTCAATTGTCGGAAAAGCCTATCCGGCTCACTAATGTCCTTTAGGGAAGGAGACTGCCATCCTTACCTGGTCTGGCCTACATGCGACTCCAGACCCACAGCAATGTGGTTGACTCTTAATTGCTGGGCAATTAACGCTGCCCTAGCCTGCAATGCCCTCATCCCGTGAATGAATGAAGAGGTTCGGAGGGGCATGGGCCAAGCGCAGGCAGGTGTGGGACCAGTTTAGTTTGGGATGACGATCAGCACAGACCGGTTGGGACTGTTTCTGCGCTGTATGACTCCGACTCTACAGCAGTTGTCATCTCCCGGGCCCTACATTCATCCCTGGAACATCTGGATGCCTACATCAGGCTACCATGTTTTTGACGACAGCTCCACCTTCAGAAGTCCAAACTCTGAGACCTAGGTGGGCAGAAGACTGCAAATGCTAACCCATTTACAAGTTCACTGACGACACCGCCGTCGAAAGGCTGGATCTCAAACGACGAGGAGGCGGCAGAATAGGGGAAAGCGAGTGAGCGCTGACTGGCACAGTGTGAAGTGTCAACGAGACCGAGGATCTGGTCATTTACTTCAGGAAGCAGAGTCGAAGGCATGCATCGATGGTGCCAAGGTGGTGGTGGTGGTCGAGAGCATCAGGTTCCTGGGAGTGACGATCGCTAACGGCCCGCCCTGGTCCACCCGCTACGGTCGAGAAAGCGCAGCAACGCCTCTGCTTCGCGAGGAGGCGAAGGAACAGGCGCGTTTTATAGAGGCGCGCCACAGAACGCATCCGACCCGGATGCGTCGCAGCGAGTGACGGAACCTGCTCCGCCCAGAAACTTACAGAAAGTCGTGAACACAGCCCAGTCCAACACCCAAACCTGCCTACCATCCGTAGACTCCATCCTATACTTCCCGCTGCCTCGGCACGGTGGCTCAGTGGTTAGCGCTGCTGCCTCACAGCGCCAGGGACTCGGGTTCGATTCCACCCTCGGGCGAGTGTCTGTGTGGAGTTTGCACATTCTCCCCGTGTTTGCGTGGATTTCCTCCGGGCGCTCCGGCTTCCTCCCACAGTCCAAAGTTGTGCATGCTAGGTGGATTGGCCGTGCTAAATTGCCCGTAGAGTTCAGGGACGCGTAGATTAGGTGGGGTGGGTCCGGGCGGGATGCTTTGAGGTTCAGTGTGGACTTGTTGGGCCGAAGGGCCTGTTTCCACACTGTAGAGCTTCGATGAGCTATGATCAACGAAAGCAGCCAACATCATCAAAGGCCCCCTCCACCCCGGCTATACCCTCTTCCGTTAGGCAGAAGGGGAGTTTGTACAAACAGAGTCAAGAACAGCCCCTTCCCCACTTTGAATGGACCCCTTTAATGTTAATCTCTCTCTCTCTATAACACTATATCCTGCACTCTGTTGTGACGCATATGTATGGTACAATCTGCCTGTACAGCATGCAAAACAGCACTTTTCACTGTACCCCGGTGACAGTAATAAATAAAATAAAATCAAAAACACCACACCAAATAAGAGAGAAGCTAGAAGTGGGATCCCCGCACTGTCTAACCCCTCAAGGCAACCAAATGTTCTTCTCCCCTTTAAATCCAAATCTGGAATCTCAATGTGCAAAGCCCTACAAGCCAAAAAAAAAACACTCCTTTTCCACACCGACAAACACACCCAGAGCCTCCGAATCCAACACCATGCCCACCGCCACACACCCGCTCCCAAACCAACGAAAATTTCCACCCACTTCCGGACAGCAAACCCTTTCCTCCCCTTCCGATAGCGATCCCTTACCCCTCCTCTGGAATCTTCCCAGGTTCCAAGGAGGCATCACGAAACTGGGAGGAGGAGGGGTGGAGACAGAGAGAAAGAGAGAGAGAGGGAGAGGGTGAATGAGACGGGGGGAAAGAGTGAATGAGGGAGAGACAGAGAGGGAGTGAATGAGGGGGGGGG